GGACAGGAGTGTCCTACAGCAGCGAGGACAGCAGAGCAAACATGCCAGCTATTGGGTGCTTCTGCATTTCTACTGTTTCCTGACTATGCAGCCTGGGGGAAGCCACTTGCCTCTCTGGAGCTCAGTCACCTAGCCTGTAACCAGGGGCAGGTGGCTGGGCAGGAAAAAGCCACTGAGTGTTACTGTCACATTTCCATAAGGAGGTCTCTGCACTGCACATTCAGGCAGGGCAACAGGACACAGCAGGCTGCAGGTGGAACTCACCCGTAGGCGGGGGCAGCAGGCTCAGATTGCGGTGGCACTGGTCACCATACAGCTTCCACTTCTCAAACAAGAAGTCCATGACCTGGGCAGAGGGTGCCTTTGCCTGGGGGACAGGTGGGCAAGCAGCCAGAAAGACAGACAGGACTGAGAGCTGTCAGCACTTCTCCACAGAGCAGGCAGCCCTCCGTGAGGGTGAGGGGCACAGCACTCACCAGGCAGGACAGCAGCAGCAACAGCAGCAGGGGATAGGGACTGTGGAGCCGGGTGAGGGGCATGCCTCTGGGTAGCCTCCCCCCACATCTGGCAGGGGTTACACGTCTCGGTCCTTGGGGTGTGTACACCCCTCCACAGGCTGCAGAGAGCCAGGATAATGAAGTCTGGAGAGAGTCCATAGAGAACCCTGTCCCCTAATATCAAGGCCCTGAGCCTAAGGCTAAATGATAGGGGTGGGGTGCGGTGGGGGTGGGGGACAGACGTGACTATGGGCAGCTATTTTCCTGCTGCTTTGGGCTGGCTGGCTGACAACAGTCAGCCTTCCTATCAGGCCACCCAAATCTTTCAGAGTGGTACCAACACTACCCACCTCCCTCATTCCTGTTGCCCTGGCTGGGCCTAGACCGCCTCCCATAATCCTTGGAAAGCTGACTGGCCAGACAATCTAACCCAGGATAAAGAGCGTGAGGGTATAGTGCCCAGGCCCATCGCCACTTGGCCCTTGTGCCAGGGCAGTTCCTAGACTGCCAGGGGCCAGGTGAGTCTTGGTCATGTGCTCAGGAGGTCTCTGCCCCCTGTATGTCCTTTTCCCAGGACCAGCGTGTCCATATAATGCTGTGGACCTTGCACAAGGCTCTCAGACTGGGCCTTTTGGTCACCTGGGGCACCAAACTGGCAGCACATCCCTCTAAGATTAGCGCTGCCATTGCCAGGGCCCAGATGAGGGACACCCCTGCCTGATGTTGCCTACAAGACATGGGAACACCAGTGACAGGTCCTGAGCAGTAGCAACCACGCACATCAGCCCCACACTGCTTCAGAACCCTTCTTGGCTCTGACAGATTCTCAAGGTGGAAGAAGAGAAATGCTTCTCAGGGCCTGTAGAGATGGGCCTCTCTCCTGTGTACCCACAAGCGGAATATAAAACAGACAGCCAGGTATAGTGGCGCATACCTGTAGTCCTAGCATTTAGGCAGTGGAAGCAGGGGAACCACCCAAAGTTCAAGGCCAGCCAGGACAGTATAGCAAGACACCCCCCCCCCTCCCTGAGGTAGGCTGGAGCGGGAGGGTGAAGGAAGAGTGAAGAGGAGAAGAGAAGAACATAGATATGGCTAAGGACTTGCAGGGGTCCCAGCTGGCAGAAGAGGCAACACCTTGATAAGACTCCCATTCACTTCTGACCCCCTTCAGGCACCCCTAGCTCGCAGCCTACTATGGGACTCCTGAGCCTAGGCTTTTGGTCAATAGAGCCTGTCAGGAGGCAAGATACAGGTGTTTTAGGTCTCTGGTACCCGAACCTTGGGGCAAAATAAATACCCACAGATGCCGGGCTTTGGTGGCACACACCTTTAGTCCCAGCACTCAGGAGGCAGAGGCAGGCAGATCTCTGTGAGTTCCAGGCCGGCCTGGTCTCCAGAGCAAGTGCCAGGGCAGCTTCCAAAACAATACAGAGAAATTCTGTCTCGACCCCCCCCAAAACAAACAAACAACCCTCCCCCCGAGAATAGAGGGTTCCTGCTGGGAACAAAGCAGCAAACAGACTGAGGAGGAGAAATTCAGATGTCCCTATTTCTGGGTTACCAAGTGGCCTTATTTCCCTGATTTGGATCAAATAGACCCATCTAATACCCAGGTCACTAGTGGGCTGGGTCTGGAGAAGCCAGAAGCTTGCCCTTCACCCACTAATCCTGGTCCCCACCCCTGAGCTGCTGGGGTCCCCCCAAGGCCCTGAAAAAGGAATGGTGGCAATGGGAAAGCTTCCGGGCCGAGTGGCAGGGCATGACCTGCATGTGTAGAAGGACAGCAGGGGCACAGTAATGAAGATGGGGAGGCCCGGATCCTGCAAGGGTGGAAATCGGTCCAGTGAGGGAAAACAGTCTTTACAGCCCAGGTCTGCCTCCATAGCCCTGGGACCACCCAGCTGTGAATGTTCAACAGTGGCGTGGTCCCAGGAGCCTGTAGTCCCAGCACTAGGCAGAAGCAGGCGGATCTGAGTTGGAGGCCAGCCTGGTCTACAGAGTCATCTCCAGGGCTACACAGAGAAACCCTGTCTTGGGGCGGCTTGGGTGGGGGGAGGAAAGAAAATGTGAAAATGTGAATGTTCTGAATCCCACCTTACTGACCTCCTCAGGCCAGGAGGACCATGGAGCTGATTGCAGGCCAGGGCTGCTGAAAACCATTGGGGAACTTCAGAGACAAGCGAGCCCCAAAGCAGGGTTGCCAAGCCCCTCAGGTCCCCAGAGCTTCCCTCAGGACAGATTGCCCAAGGGTTTACTCCCATACCACAGAGCGTGATGAAGGTGAAACTGAAGCTGGGCATATTGGCACACGCCTGTAATCCCAGCAGGTAGGAGGCAGAGGCAGGTGGATCTCAGTGAGTTTGTGGCCAGCCTGGTCTACACAGTGTGGTCCGGGAGTCAGAACTACATTGTGAGACCCTGTCTTGAAAAAGAAAGAAAGAAAGAAAGAAAGAAAGAAAGAAAGGAAGGAAGGAAGGAAGGAAGGAAGGAAGGAAGAAAGAAAGAAAGAAAGAAAGAAAGAAAGAAAGGTGAGTCCAAGAATCTTTGAGGATTTCTTTACACGAAGACCAGGGTGGGTGGGCTCAAAAACGCTTATGGCTAGATTTTTTGTTTGTTTGTTTGTTTGTTTGTTTGTTTTCTGAGACAGGGTTTCTCTGTGTAGCTTTGGAACCTTTCCTGGCACTCGCTCTGTAGACCAGGCTGGCCTCGAACTCACAGAGATCTGCCTGCCTCTGCCTCCCAAGTGCTGGGATCAAAGGTGTGCACCACCAACGCCCAGCTAGGGCTAGATTATTAAAGGGTTCAGTAACCATCCACTGGGTCTCTCTCGAAATGAGGAGAGGGCCAGAGTGGGTGAGTTTTCTATTCCTGTGGGTGGTGGTGGGAATAACAAGTGGATTTCCAGACACTTCTTTGAACGGTGAGAGAGGGAGCCTCATGGAGACGGGACTGATTTTCAGTCCCACAAGGCTGAGACACTGGGGTCTCTACAGAGAGCATCCAGGCCTCATGCTGAAGCCGGGGAGGAAGGCAAACACGTGAAGCCCAGGACTCAGGGAATGCATTCTGGATGGTACAGGGCTTTGTCATCTGTAGCATAGGACTGATGGGTCTGTGTGTGCTGTGCCGTCTGCCTCCTGTCCCCACAGTGGGAGGTAAATACTGACACCCAAACAGCCATCGGCACTGATAAATATTCATCCAATGAGAGCATAGTCCTAGCCCTGGGGTGACAGGCAGCCAGGTGTGGATGGGGCACCTTTGCTCCTGTGTCCCTTTTTCCACGTTATTACCTCCCTGGCAAGGAACAGATGGAGGTAAGGGACAATAGACCAGGGACCCTACCCACCTCCTTTCTTGGACTAAGCGGCTGAAACCCCTCTCAGGGGTCAGACTCCATGAGGCCCAACTGTAGGTGAAATGTGGAAGGGGCAAGTCTGAGTTCCTAAGATATCAGCCTGGCTTGTCTTTAGTGCAAGCGCTTGCCTGTGGCCCCTTTTTCACAGCTCATGTCCAGCAAGCCAGCCACCTGGACTGGCACTGCCCCATGCCGCCACTGCTCCCAGCCGGCTCCAACAGGACAAAGGACGCTTGGGTGTTTGCAGTGTGGCCAGTGAACGACTGATTTTCTCTGCAGGTGGCTGAGGGTCAGATGGATGGCCCAGTGACCAAAGGAGGCATCACTGGGGAGGCTCTTGGTTCCCTAGGAGCCAAAGTTGGAGAGGTGGCAAAGTCTTTGATCTGAGGAAACCATAAAGTTATCAATTGGAAGAGGGTTTTTGATCAAAATAGAGAAACTAGCCCAGGTAATAGCCCTAGGGCAGGGACAGGATCAGGGTCCACAGACTGTTGACAAAACCTAATTCCTGAGTCCTTCCCTCGAAGGGGGCGGGCAAGCCCTGGGATACCCGCCAGGGTGAGCGGTGATTAATCCCCCGCCCCCCATGTCTCCAAGACAGAAGGACAGCAAAATATTCCTGGTCGATCCTCGGAGAGAGCCAGAGCCAAGAGGTGAACTCCATGGGTCTGAAGTGAGAAGGGGGTCGCTGGGGAGCCGGGGCAGGACAAGGGCAGTGACCCGCTTGCGGTCGCACGGGTCAAAGTGAACAATCGTGGCCTGCGGAAGACAAGCCCTCAAGGCGGGGTGACTGCGCACCTCACCCTATCCCAGCAAGAATGGGCCACTGCTACGGAGTCCTGGGTATTAGGGACACATAGGAGGGGAGCCAGCGGATCCAGCGGAGGGGATTGCGAGCCGTTGGGGGAGGGGAGGGGAGCTGGAGTACCTTAGGCGCTCAGTGGAGCAGCGGGACCCACGCCTGCGCCCACCCTCTCGCGGCGGCTCCCGGATTGCGCTCCCAGAGGGCAGAAGGGAGAGGTTGAGACCTCTAACCTGCCAGACGGTTAGGGATCAGGTGACCGTCCCAACAGTAGGACATATCCCCCGGGTTGGAAACTGAGGTGTTCGATGGGGGACGGGGCGGGGGCGGGGGGACCGCGACA